CTCCCTCAGTACTGACCCTCCGACAGTGCGGCGCTCCCTCAGCACTGACCCTCCGACAGTGCGGCGCTCCCTCAGCACTGACCCTCTGACAGTGCAGCGCTCCCTCAGTGCTGATCCTATCTGTGTACTGCACTGGGATGTTAGCCTGTGTTGAAATCTCTGTTTTGGCCCTGAACCCGTGACGTTCTGTCTGAGGCAAGTGTACCCTGTACCATGAGAGAGGAGGAGGCTATAGAGCTGGGAGATGTCAGGACCCAGGTTGTGGGCTGTGCCGCCCGCTTCCTGCTGCTTCTCTGCTCCATTCTGCAGACAGCACCACTAAATATTCTGTTTTCTTGCAGAGAATCTCTGAGTATGTTTCTGAATTTTATGGGCCACTTAGCTCTGCAGTGTGAGTTGATCCTGGGTAACACCAGTCTGATGGATTCCTTAAAGGCGGAGCAGTTTGATGTTGTGCTGATCGATGCATTCAATCCCTGTTCATTCCTGGTGGCAGAAAAGCTGCAAGCCCGGTTTCTGGCTGTGCACTCGGCGAACTTTTGGAGTTGGTATCTGGCTGGTCTGCCCAGCCCCATGTCATATGTTCCTGCAACTCGCTCACTGCTCTCTGATCAGATGGGATTCTGGGAGAGACTGAAGAATTCTGCCATGTTCCTGGGCTCTTGGCTAACAGAGAGAATGGTGTATGCCCAGTTTGATCAGACTATCAGGAAGTGCTTCCCACCGGGATCACAGCCTACTCTCTCAGAACTGTACCTGAAGGCTGAGTTGTCAATCTATAACACAGATTTCACCCTGGATTTTGCAAGGCCACTGCTTCCTAATGTGGTCTACGTTGGAGGCTTGCTTTCAAAACCAGCGAAACCGCTCCCCCAGGTAGGTGTTGACAGCAATCTCTCTCAGATTGATGGTCTCTCATTGCATTTTCTCTCTCTCCAATCCTTCTGCCCTGGTCTTCCGAAATCACAGCATTGTTACAGCACAACATGAGGCTATTCAATACCTGTGGTGGATCTTGAATATTATTGTCCCTGTAAAACTGCAATCTGCCTTTTTCAAATAATTGTCTAATTCCTTCTTGAAAGCTATACTTTAATCTGCCTCCCCCACGCTCTCAGACAGTACATTCCAGACGTGATCTGTGCACAGATACCTCCAGCTCCCTCTGCTCCTGCTCTTCCTTTAGAATTGTCCCCCTTTCTTTATATTGTCTTTCAATGTACTTCCAACCTCACACTTCTCTGCATTGACCCTCATCTGCCACCCACCCGCTTGTTAATGTCCTTTTAGAGTTTCACACTGTCCTCCTCACAGTTTACAATTCTTCCAAGTTTTGTGTCATCTGCAAACATGGAGATTGTCCCCTGCACAGCAAGATCCTGATCATTAATGTAGATCAGGAAAAGCCAGGGTCCCAATACTGACCCCTGGGGAACTCCACTACAAACCCTCCTCCAGCCTGAACGATACCCATTGACCATTACTCTCTGTTTCCTTTCACTCAGTTAATTTTGTATCCGCGTTGCTCCTGTCCCTTTTATTCCATAACCTCACGAGGCTTTTGTGTGGTACATGGATATCCATAAGGGAGGCAAGTGGTGTTTTTGCTGGATTGTTAATCCAGACAGCAAGGGCATTCCCTGGCCACATGTTTGACTCCCACCATGGCAGATGATGGAATTTGAAACCAATTTTAAAAAAGCTCCAATTGGAAGTCAAATGAATCATTAAAACCATTGATTTTGTTGTAAAACCCATCATTTATGTCCTTTAGGGAAGGAAACTGCCATCCTTACTTGGTCTGGCCTACATGTGACTCCAGATCCACAGCAATGTGGTTGACTCTTAACTGCCCTCTGAAATGGCCTGAGTGAGACATTCAGTTGTACCAATAGGTATGAAATCCAAACAAGGAAATGAAATGGGACAGATCGCTCACATCGCATTGATCTGAAGCTGTGCTAACCGGGTCAGGCTGCAATTCAAGACTTGCCTTGACAACATTCCAGCAATAGTACTGAGGGTTTGTGCTACAGAACTGGCCACTCCCCTAGCCAAGGTGTTCCAGTACAGTTACAACACTGGCACCTGCCCAACAGTGCAGAAAATTGCCCAGGTATGTCCTGTACACAAAAAGCAGGACAAATCTGACTTGGGCAATTTCTGCCATGTATTATGGTCTCATCAGTGGCCTTATCCACTTTCCTGCCCTTTCCCTACAACCCTTGATTCCCCAGCTGATCAAGAAAATCTCTCTATCTCGGCCTTAAATATACACAAGGACTCTGCCGCCACAGCTCTCTGTGTGAAGGAGTTCCAAAGGCTCACAATCCTCAGAGAAGAAATTCCTCTCACCTCAGTCTTTAACTGGTGCCCCTTTATTCTGAGACTGTGCCCTCTGATCCCCTAGACTGTCCCATGAGGGGAAATACCCTCTCAGCATTTACCCTGTCAGGCCCCTCAAGAATTCTATCTATTTCAATGAAATCACCTCTCATTCTTCTAAACTCCAGTGAGTAGAGTCCCAACCTGTTTAACCTTTGCTCATTAGGTAGTCCCTCTATACCAGGGATCATCCTAGTGAACCTTCTCTTAATAAAGCAACCTAGACACGTCAGACCAGCCATGATCCTATTGAATGGTGGAACAGGCTTGAGGGGCCAAATGGAATACTCTGTTCCTTTTTCTCTTAGTCTTAAACATCACCCATTAATATTCAATCGTGTTACCATCACTGAATCTCCCATTGTCAACATCCTGGGGATTACCATTGACCAGAAACTGAACAGGATTTGTCATATCAAACAGCAGCTGCAAGAGCAGGTAAGAGGCTAGGAATACTGCAGTGAGGAAATCACTTCCTGACTCCCCAAAGCCTGTCCACCATCTACAAGGCACAAGTCAGGAGTGTGATGGGATACTCCCCACTTGCCTGGATGGGTGCAGCCCCAACAACACTCAAGAAGCTTGACACCATCCAGGACAAAGCAGCCACTTGATTGGCACCACATCCACAAGCATCCACACCCTCCAACTCCGACGCTCAGTAGCAGCAGTGTGTACTATCTACAAGATGCACTGCAGAAATTCACCAAAGATCCTCAGACAGCACCTTCCAAACCCACAATCACTTCCATCTAAAAGGACAAGGGCAGTAGATACATGGGAACACCACCCCCTGCAAGTTCCCCTCTGAGCCACTCACCATCCTGACTTGGAAATATATCACCGTTCCTTCACTGTGGCTGGGTCACAATCCTGGAATTCCCTCCCTAAGGGCATTGTGGGTCAACCCACAGCACATGGACCGCAGTGGTTCAAGAAGGCAGCTCACCCCCACCTTCTCAAGGGGGGGGCAAATAGAAACGGGTAATAAATGCTGGACCAGCAGCGGCACCCTCATCCCACAAGTGAATACAACCCAATGGTCTCAATGTGGACTTTACTAGCTTCAAAATCTCCCCAACCCCCCACCTCATTCCAAGACTAGCCCCCCTTCTCATCCCTGCCTCATTGACCTGTCCGTCTTCCCTCCCACCTACCTGCCCCTCCCTCCTCACTGACCAACCCCCATCCCAACTCCCTACCTACACTCACCTTTACTGGCTTCATCCCCACCTCCTTGACCTGTCTGTTTCCTCTCTCCACCTATCCGCTCCACTATCCACCTTCTATCTGCCTCCCACTCTCTCCCTATTTATTTCAGAACCCCCTTCCCCTCCCCCATTTCTGAAGAAGGGTCTAGGACCGAAATGTCAGCTTACCTGTTCCTCTGATGCTGCCTGTCCTGCTGTGTTCCTCCAGCTCCACACTGTGTTATCTATGAACATACTCACAAAGCTCTGTTCTCACTGCAGCATGTTGTAGCGTTGACCTTTACTCTCGTTAGGATCTGGAAGATATCATCTTGAAAGCAGGAGACGAAGGCTTCATCGTGGTGAGTTTTGGTTCGATGCTTGCCTCTGTCAACCTGCCGGTGGTGCTGGAGGAGATCAATGCTGCCTTCTCACGGCTCCCACAGCTGGTTATCTGGAGGCACCTATACACTCATTGGCCAAGTGAGGTCCTTCCTGCTCCTAACATCAAGCTGGTGGATTGGCTGCCTCAGAATGACCTGCTCGGTGAGATATTGCACTCAGAGACCATTTCATAGAGGGCTCCTTGGCTAAAAGTTATTATGATGGTTGTTAGTTGGGGAATACATTGCACCCGGAAGGTGGCAAAATAATTTTTCTTCTAATGATTGTCTTTTAAGATGTATTTGAAGGTTACTTTTTCATTTTCAGTGACTTTTTTTGTCACCAGCTCCTTTGTAAGATGATGTGGCTGTGTAGTGTTCTGTATTTCTGTTGGTGTTTGTGGTCTTGGATTATCATAGACATGTCCCAGGATCACTCATCAATATCCTCAATAATGATCATCCCTCCATTAACCTTGAAGCCAGAATGTGCAGGGAAGGCATTAATTTCCTGGACAGCACAATATTGAAATTGGCACAACACAAAAGGCATAATTTAGTGAAAGTATTCTCCAAAATAACTGACACACACTTAGACACACAGAAAGACTTCGCCCTCAGTGCGCCATCCTCAGACTGGTGAGATCACAGCTCACGCATTCCTGGTGAATGTGCTGCCTATTAAACCCTACTCATCCACCAGTCCCAGTGTTAGTGATTCAATAATTGGAAACATTCGCCAGGATTCTTCAGTGAACTCAAAATAATCCATTTGTTATGAACAAAAAGCATGCTTAAAGAAAGTTCTGAGGAAGGGTCACCGGACCCGAAACGTTAACTCTGTTTTCTCCTCCACAGATGCTGCCAGACCTGCTGAGCTTTTCCAGCAACTTTGTTTTTGTTCCATGCTTAAAGAAAGTTGAAAACACCAGTAACCACCTCAGCTGTGATCTGAAATTAAAACTCTCACACACACACACACACTCTTTCACGCACGCACACACATTCTCTCTCACACACACACACTCTCACACACATTCTCACTCACACACACACACTCTCTCACACTCACATACACACACACACTCTCTTTCACACACACGCACACACACTCTCTCTCACTGAAGCTTACACAGTCTCACACACACACACACTCACACTCTCTCTCTCTCACACACACTCACACGCGCACACACACACTCTCTCTCATACACTCACTCTCTCTCACAGTGTGTCTCCTTCAGGTTTTACAAGGTTGTCCAAAATGCTGGTATTTGTGAACTCTCTGAGGTTCCCAGAAGCTTCCTTTTAGATCAGAACTTCAGGGGAGAGAGAGAGAGACTTAAAGCTTCTGAACTGTCCAACTCCTGGGTTTATGTAGCAGAATTCAAAATCTAGAAATAGTTACTGGACAATCATTCACATGGAGGACCCCTAGTGTTTCAAAGCCAGGGTTTCCAGTAATTAAGGCAGAAAGGCAAACCCTGATCTTCTTTAAAACCTGGCTTGCTGTTTCCTCCAAGATCTCTTCATTTTTCTCAAAACAGCAGGTGACATACAGCAGACATAGCACTTGGGGCTAAACGGGTCCAAGGCTATAGGGTGAAAAGCAGGAACTTGGGATTGAGCTGTATGATCAACAGTGATCATGTTAAATGGTAGAGCAGGCACAAAGAGCCAAATGGTCTACTCCCGTTCCTAATCTCCATGTTTCTATTCAATGGTCACATTTTACACAGAATGCTGCCAAACTGGAGCCATGTTCAGCTCATCACCTCAGGCTGCATTTGAGCTGGGACACAGACTGAGGCACTCTCTCACCTCTGGGTTTTAGCTGATGTGCTGCAGAGCTGAGGGACAGATACTTAATTCCTCTATTAACCCTTTCTGCCATCTTCAGGGATCTGGGGACAAACACCCCAAGATCCCTCTCTTCCTCCGAGGTTCCTAGTGTCCTGCCATTCATTGACGACTCCATTACTTTGTTCCTTCTTCCAGGGTTAAAGTTCATCTGTCGCTGATCTGCCCATCTGACCAAACCGTTTATATCTTCCTCACTAACCGCACTGTTAACCACCTGACCAATCTTTGTGTCATCCACAAACTTACTTAC